GGCGATACACCTGCTGGAAGGGTTACAACGTAATGAAATGTTTTCGGAAAAGAAACCTTCGCGTACTCAATATTCACTCTATGAATTCACGTTTAGCGTAATGCAAAGAGTTTATTTCCAATATATTACAAATGTAACGAAGTGAGACTCAAATAGATTATCTGTCTGTCTGCAAGGGACGTAAAACAAGCGCGTAGCTTACCGTATCTTTCTGGCGCACAAAAAACTACCCCACCCTGTCCGGGGAACACAGAAAAAGCTTGTCCGATAGATTAGTCTTCATAAGGTAGACATTCATCTAATTATATATCCCGACACAGCGTCCGCTTCTGTACACATTTGTTTTTGCCTTAACGCCGCACCGTGACTATGTACGTAATTGAATTTGAACCATACAAACCAGTGATTGATATTATGAGCAAAGTCCCAGGCAGTCGGAGTACGATACCATACAGTCAACCCAGCCACCGAGCCAGACCAACCGATTATATTTAATATGTCGCCTCTTACGCCATAAGGAATGTTCATAAGTGATCAGCCACATTATGTCCGATATATCCCGACTGTCCCTTAGTTCGAATCCTGGATTAACTTAGATTATGATCCTTCCTTGGTTTGTCAAAACCATACCCGTGCTCATGGCTTTCCCCAAAAGTGACAAAAGTCTATAGCCTGCATCACTTCGAGCTTTCCTCCCACTAAAAGCTGACACGCCCAGATATAACTGACATATTGTTCAAAACGAGTTTAAACCAAAAACGCTCACCAAACAACCCCGCATCTTCTGTTACCAATGCATCCAAACCTATAAGAACCATGTCTCTATCCTTAAAAAGTAGCTGGGACAACCTGAACGGAATATTGCTGACTGGCATAAAACAACATTGAGTCACCCAATTTGAACCAGTTTGAATGTGGCGCTCCTTTACAAAATCCTAATTCTGACATGTATTTCGAGCCGTTATAGATACATGGGGTTCACACCAATTAGCATGGGAGTTGTCACTGTAGACAAACATGATAGAGAGCTGGCTCTCGCTGAGACTTAGTCCGCCTGGCTACCTCTTCCGGGATCATCCTGAGGAATGTAAACATGCACTGCCGTGTCAGGCAAACACAGGTCATGTTTATGTGCACGGTTTCGTGTTTTACAACACCGCAGCTCGAGTTGCACTAACACGGCGCAACATCTTCATCTTTCAACGTCTCTCGACCCCGTCCTGTGAAGATACCAGGGCGCCTTTGTACAAAACAACGTCTCCCGACCCCGTCCAGTGAAGAAATCAGGGTGCCTGTACAAAACAACGTCTCCCGACCCCGTCCAGTGAAGAAATCAGGGTACCTGTACAAAACAACGTCTCCCGACCCCGTCCAGTGAAGATACCAGGGTACCTGTACAAAACAACGTCTCCCGACCCCGTCCCGTGAAGATACCAGGGTGCCTTTGAACAAAACGTCTCCCGACCCTGTCCTGTGAAGATACCAGGGAGCCTTTGAACAAAATGTCTCCCGACCCCGTCCCGTGAAGATACCAGGGCGCCTCTACAAAACAACGTCTCCCGACCCCGTCCTGTGAAGATACCAGGGCGCCTTTGTACAAAACAACGTCTCCCGACCCCGTCCAGTGAAGATACCAGGGTGCCTGTACAAAACCACGTCTCCCGACCCCGTCCAGTGAAGAAATCAGGGTGCCTGTACAAAACAACGTCTCCCGACCCCGTCCAGTGAAGAAATCAGGGTGCCTGTACAAAACAACGTCTCCCGACCCCGTCCCGTGAAGATACCAGGGTGCCATTGTACAAAACAACATCTCCCGACCCCGTCCCGTGAAGATATCAGGGTGCCATTGTACAAAACAACGTCTCCCGACCCCGTCCAGTGAAGATACCAGGGTGCCATTGTACAAAACAACGTCTCCCGACCCCGTCCAGTGAAGATACCAGGGTGCCTTTGTACAAAACAACGTCTCCCGACCCCGTCCAGTGAAGATACCAGGGTGCCATTGTACAAAACAACGTCTCCCGACCCCGTACCGTGAAGATACCAGGGTGCCTTTGAACAAAACGTCTCCCGACCCTGTCCTGTGAAGATACCAGGGAGCCTTTGAACAAAACGTCTCCCGACCCTGTCCCGTGAAGATACCAGGGTGCCTTTGTACAAAACAACGTCTCCCGACCCCGTCCCGTGAAGATACCAGCTAGGTGCCTTTGTTCAAAACAACGTCTCCCGACCACTTCGGTGAAACCACGAGCACGGGTATGGTGCTGACAAACCTAGAAACATAATCGGGGCGAATCGGGATTCGAACCCACAATCAGAGGTTTATGGCGTGCCCAAGGGACGCAACTCTGCACAGCGAATCGCGGCGCCTTAGACGACTGGGCCACCCGTGTCCCCCAACTAGGAGGAGGAGAGGGTGGTAAGATACGGTGTTGGTATTACAGAACGGACAAACCCATCAGGTATGCTGTTATGGTACGGAGCAGGTATTACGGTATGGACAAGCAGAGCAGGTATGGTTATATGACACGATACAGGTATCAGTTTCGATCTCGTGTTGTACAATCCTGTAAAATCCCGTCCACCAACTGGCTACACATTTAACTCACATTATATACGGAGACGGTATTACCTTGTATTACGATACGAACACAAGACACACATCTATTTCACAAAATCCCCAAGCAACGTACGAAAGCATTTCGAAAGCAGTTGTCACGTATGTCCCCGGGTACCCATTCCACAGCGAATCGAAAACAGAGCTTTTTGTCACGGACTGCCATCGGGTATGAGAGAATGCTCTTCTGCCACTTCATTCCCCTTTTCAACAGTTGGACATGATGCTACAGTTTCATCCCTTCCCCCTTGCCGTAAGAGGCGACTATGCTGTTCGTAAGAGGCGACTAATAGGATCGGGTGGTCAAGCTTGCTAACTTGGTTAATGCATGTTATCGTATCCCAATTGCGTGGGTTGATGCTCATATGTCAATCACCGGACTGTCTGGTCCAGGCTCGATTATTTACTGACCGCCATCATATAGCTGGAATATTGCTGTGTATCTCATAAAGCGTAGGCGTTAAACAAAAAACAAACAAATCATCCCATCCCCGGGTACATACGCTGCATCTAGGTCGTATGAGAGTATTCAAAAGCACCACCGGGTTCGAACCCGGGGCCTCTGAAGTCGAGGAATTAGCAAGTGCCAAGCATAATCAGAATACAAAATAGTAATATCTGCTGCCACAACGCTTTCGAGAAAATACAGCTGGGGAGTCAAACGAACCTGCCACCCCCGATGCAGGACTTGTAGCCTGCAGAGGGAGAACTTGTCTTCGATATGCGAGAGATCTAATGTACGTATGCCTATCCCGTCCTCCTCTAGTAAACCTCAAACACTGACACTGAGACAACAGAAATGGGATTCACACAGTGTACCCATGTGGGGGATTCGAACCTGGGTCTTCGGCGTGACGAGCGAACGCTTTAACCACAAGGCTACCCCACAGCTTCTGACACTGAGAACAATAACGATGATTAACATACATCTCCCGTCGCTAACATTTCTTCACACCCAATAGAGAATGTATGCTATGTTATGTCAAATACCTTTCTAGATTAGTGGAACACTTGCACATCTACACATGGCGTGACACAACACGCTGAGAAATGCAAAGTGTTGATCGGGTTCCGCCTCCAAGTCAATGAGAATATTTTACCCCGCCTCACCACCCCTGGGCACAGTGAGGGCGGGAGACACAACTACTGCGTCTGTATCAATATGTATACCATATTTATATCAACGCAAGCCTCATTCTCACGATATTGTGTCACGAACACCCACAGACCAATCCCTGCCTCAGTCTCGGGGCGGGGCGACCTCGCACCAGGCACAATGGAGATACAGTCAGGCAGGAGGAAATGCCACCCTTTACGGCAAGCTGTAAAAACAGGCGGCGAATGTCGCTGTTCGTCTCCAATGTCAATGAAATGTATAGTACATTGCACATTGACTATTTAGCATACATACAGAAACATGTAAAACACGCTCCCGAAATACTGGACACAGTGAATTCAGTATGAATCATAGCAGCATTCATGGATGTAGGCATAAAGCTTAAGTATAATTATATAAAGTATGTATATTTCTTTACATATCTCTCTCTCCTTTTTAACATCTGATGACATTTTATATGCGCACGATACTATGTTGATTTGGTTGTTAAAACAGACTGATTTATATCATATAGTAATAATCAGCCCCCCCCCCAAAAAAAAACCCACAAAAAACAACAAAACAACAAAAACACATACACACAGCTGAAGTGTTTTCTTTATATGCACTGATTCACTCATACATACATACATACATACATACATACATACATACATACATATCTATCAGATCACATTTATCTTAAACGTCGCAGGCTTTGTCAATGTAAAACATTCAGAATACAATAAAATATATAACATAATACTAAACTTATACCTCTCCGCTGTCAAAACTGAATGTAGATAAAACCCAAATGAAACGTAGAAAAATTAAAAATAAATATTTTCTCTTAACACTTCAAGGGTATGTGGCATTGCCGACATTCGCGAAAAAAATAGCATGTCTGCGCGTCTATAGTCAGGTATGTACAACTCACAGCTGTCAGATTAAGTTAATAGCACGTGTTACAGGAAGCAGGTTTTTTTCAAAAACAACCGTACACATATATACATTATGATAGTCACACGGCATTCGTGGCCTTCATAAGTTGATAATCCGATCTCTTAGTCCAATTACCAGGAAATGTCAACAACTACATTCGTCTGCACCTGAAACCCCGTGTGCCGTCTGTACGGTCTAGCTTTTACACTGAGGCTTCTTCAGTGGATTAGTCCTATACTGTGAAAACAAATGTTACATCGTTTGATATTTTTTTAAAGTTTAGTATAAGGACACTATATGATGCTGAAAGCAGCTGAAGATTAAAATAGATCATAATTTACTTACCTCGAAGGTATATCGTCTGCTGCTTTCTTTGGATGCGGCAAGCACCCACGACGGTAGTACCAAAATAGAGATTGCCGTATCACATTACACGCTAAGCAGGCACTTAAGCCCTCGCTACTTACCTCCCTTAGATGTCTAAATAACAATACAAATAGATATTAATATACTTATGTGTGTATTATTCGAGTCGTACGCGTGTTATCGGTTTTCGAAAAGAAAGTTTAGAACATTAAATTGTTCGATAAAACGTTCACGCCTATGATTTATTGCGATGTTGCGCTATCTTATAAACATATGCCTTACCCAGTCACGAGCAGGGATTATGCTTGTAATTGAGAAATGCGCGTGATTTGACGAAGTGGGCACTCCCGAGTTGGTTTGTGCCGGTTGCCTAGTGATTCATTGCGCTGTCTGAGAGCATCTCACTCAACCCGCATCACTCACGATGTTATCATGGCGTGTCATCGCCGCACAGATTCCTGCAGACATACGCCACGAGCTGAAACATGCGTTTGTATTAGTGTGAGTGAGTGAGTATGGTTTTATGCCGCTGTTAGCAATATCACAAGGGAGACCCGGAATAAGCTTCACACATTGTAACCATAACGGGAATAGAACCCAGGTCTTCGACGAGACGAGCGAGAACTTTAACCACTAGGCTACCCCACCGCCCGTTTGTATGACAAACGTATAGTATGCTCAACTGTATATTTATACAGTATGTTCAACAGTATAATGAGCTGAAATTATGGTCTCAAATATGTCAGGTGTGTAACCTCAAATAAAACACCCTCCCTTCCCGTCACCCCAACGACTTGTTTTGTATCATGCCCCGCCCCCTATAATAATTACCCGTCCCTAAACAAATCTCAAATTTACCGAAACTTTAAAAAAATACCCCCAATATGGCTGTGATACATTTGGACGACACCCCTCTTTCACCATTTCAAATTTTATTGACTCAGCCAAAGAGAACAAAAACGCAATAGATGCCACAGGAGTGAGTGAGTGAGTTGGGTTTAACGCCGCCTTCAACAGTATTACTGCTATATCACGGCGATATGACGTGGGACGGTCCTCTTACTTGCCCGTTATTTCAATTTACAGACCGCCGTCATATAGCTGGAATATGTTTGAGAGCGGCGTAAAACTAGAAACAAACAAGCTAACTAACAAGCATCTGGTCAGAATTTTTCCACCCCGTAAAGACTACGAAGGTGGTATTTTATGGCACTTCGGTCATTATATTGAAAGTGTTGTCATGCCGTAATGTTTGTTATCCACAAAGTCTAGCCGTCTTCAGCTACGTTTTTAACAAACGAACAGAAATCAGGAAGAATATCAATTAGCAGCAAAGCAAAATAAAAAAAAGGTTACTAAAGAAAACTAGGGAATTTATTGCCAGAGAACGCTTTAAATATATATTGCTTACCACGGCGCTTACCTTCGTACTTTTCTAACCATTTCACTCTTTCACAGAAGTCGCGCCAACATCAAATGTAAATAATGATGCGTTGATAAATCACGTTGCTGCGTGAAGGACATGTAAACGCATTTACAAATGACAAAGGAGAACAAATTCAAGTCTATTCACAAATTCAACAAAGCTCTTCAACTAAACTGTAAACGGTAAACAAAAATCTACCGTAACGCCATGTAACCTGTGGATTGAATAACGCTGAATATACATACCATATATAGCGTCTAATTTGTTAAGTACAATGCAGACATCGTTTGATCATAAGTTACGTATCATTTATAATATTTACAACAATAATTGTTGTCTTTATTTAAACGTTATTTATATAATTAAGAAAAGATATTATGTTTAAGTGTCTGTATATAAAACAACTGACTGAAAAATACCCAACCATAACAAGAATAGCTACAATAAAACATAACTAAAAACAATTTATGAGGTTGAGTTGGATTCGAACTCGCACTTTCAGACTGTTTGAAAGCATTGATGGAAGAAAGAAGAAATGGCGTAAAAAAGGGTCGAGGATTGCGTCAGTGGAAGCAAAGTCAAGGGGTGGCCAGGAATTAGGAACCTGTTGTCCACTTCTTAATTTTCGGGACGTTTTAGCAAGTTTATTGTATATACTCAGCCCATGCAGACTTCGAAGTATCCACACGACTACGCCTCGCCCAACACTATGCGATGAAATAAAGCCTGCAGTTGTTGTCATCTTATTACGCAATCAACAATCATTCAGACAAGCTCGGTTGTTGCCGTTGCCTCATCGAGGGCTATGTTGTATTCGGTATTTTTCTGTAACATGTTGCGTGTGCTTTAATTTTCCTCGTTCCTCATAATATGGCAGAATGTACATGACGAGCGTACAAAAGATGAAGTGATGACATATTATTCGAGACGCCTTAATATAGGTTGAGACCTTAATATAGATAGCAGAATCACGTTTAGACAGGTCCCCTGCCTCTGTTGCGCAGCCTACACAAAACAAAGAGGCGACGGGCAGGGTACAGGTCTATATCACATTACACGCCACGCAGGCGATCAGACTCACGTTACCTATACCTCCCTAACATGTGCAAATAACACTACAAAGCGATGTTAATACACTCACGTACACACTATTCTAGTTTATCAGTTTTCGAAAATATAGCTTGGAACGTTAAATGGTTCGATACAACACCCACGCTTATGGCTGTAACTGAGAAACTGATTTGACGAAGTGGGAACTGCCGAGTAAGTATGTGCAAAGATATATTGATATATCTATACACGTGTTTGGTTTGTGCTAGTTGTCTTGTGACTCCTTTCGCTGCATTGACCTCTCCCTTTTATAAATTCCGGGCCCCGCCTTTGCACTGTCTGAGAACATCTGACTTAAAGGGGCTCTGATATAACAGTCATGACCACCCGATCCCGTTTGTCACCTCTTACGACAAGCATAGTCGCTTTTTACGGCAAGCATGGGCTACTGAAGACCTTTTCTACCCCGGATCTTCAGGGGTCACCAACACATTTAATATATGAAGTGTTTGTTTGTTTGTTTGTTTGTTTGTTGTTTAACGCCGCACTCAGCAATATTCCAGCTATATGACGGCGGTCTGTAAATAATCGAATCAGGACCAGTGATTACCATCATAAGCATCGATCCACGCAATTGGGATCGATGACATGCATCAACCAAGTCAGCAAGCCTGACCACCCGATCCCGTTAGTCGCCTCTTACGACAAGCATAGTCGCCTTTTGCGTCAAGCATGGGTTACTAAAGACCTATTCTACCCACGGGTTTTATGAAGTGGTGCGTCACAACTGGAGCTGAAACATATGAGAACAACTCATTATATGAAGTGGCACGTTACAACTGGAGCTGAAACATACAGATGAACTCATTATATGAAGTGGCATGTCACAACCAGAACTGAAACATATGAGAACAACTCATAACATGAAGTAGCGCGTCACAGTTGAAGCTACAACACAAGAGTCCGACTCATCATATGCAGTGGCGCGTTACAACTGGAGCGGAACCACAAGAGACCAACTAATTAAATGAAGTGGTGCATCACTACTGCAGCTGAAACACTAGACACCAACTCTATATGAAGTGGTGCATCGCAACTGGAGATGAAACATATAAAACAACTCAATACATAAAGTGGCGCATCACAGTTGGAACTACAACACTAGAGACCGACTCGTCATATGAAGTGGCGCCTCACAACTGGATCTGAAACATAAGAGACCAACTCATTATATGAAGTGGCGCCTCACAACTGGATCTGAAACATAAGAGACCAACTCATTATATGAAGTGGCGCCTCACAACTGGACCTGAAACATAAGAGACCAACTCATTACATAAAGAGGCGCATCACAACTGGAGCTAAAACACTAGAGACCAGCTCATTATACCAGGAAGTGGCGCTTCTCAAGTAGTTTGGAAACATTGAAAGACCAACTCATTAAAATAGGATTTTGCACGTCTGAGCTGGATCTAAAACATTAAAAATCATCGTTACTCGAGGTGGTACATTTCAATATAGACTATAGTCTTGATTTTGTTTTCGAAATGATCCTTTGGTAGTGATACGCAAATCGTTATAAAACTCTACAAAAGTTACTTGACGGAACGGGTATGCACAACAGAGGTCCATAACACGAAATCTTTGCATTGACCATTGTGCTAAATACTGGCCAACGGGAGGCAATGTATCTGATCATTTGAACCTGAAGCTGAGAACTTTTTAATATCTATCAGTATATGTGCTCTAGAGATCAGACTTCCAGACGACCTCAGCTGACACTACAACTGCCTTTCTACGGTAACTGGGGTATCATTGGGTGTGGACAGCACCCGCAACTCATTCTTACACTTCACCATGGATGCGGAAGGTTATACTTTCTCCACTACTCGGAACATTCGGACCAGCAAAATACACCCCTATATCTACTGACCACATTCTTCACAGGGAAAGTCCAGCATAACATGGCTTTCTTAGAATGGAGCCCACGTGACCACGGACAGTTGCAATGTGTAAACCCATGTCCAGGCACCTTGGTCCTCTAGGTATAACCTACAATTGTAGAAGAACATGCATACATTCAGTAAAATTCACTGTGACTATAGAAACTTTTTGGAGTTGAAGGAGAACCGAGTTTAAACCATAATATTGAAAAAATGATTCTGTCTGGAAAAATAATATGCTTCGTCTATGTGATGCGTCTCAACTGGATATGAATAATAAAATATCAGCTCATACTAGTAGGAAGTGGCGCATCACAACTGGAGCTGAAACATTAAAGACCAACTCATTATATGAAGTGATGCTCACCACTGGAGCTGAAACGCTAGACACAAGCTTATATGAAGTATTGCTCACAAACGGACCTGAAAGATTAGAGACTAACTAATATGAAGTGGTGCTCACAACTGGAGCTGAAACATTTGAGACTAACTAATATGAAGTGGCGTATCACAACTGGAGCTGAAACATTAAAGACCAACTCATTATATGAAGTGGTTCTCACAACTGGAGCTGACACATTTGAGACCATGTAATATGAAGTGGAGCATTACAACTGAAGCTGAAA